AGCTTATCTAATTTTGCACTCAACGCGAACATAGCTGCTCTAGCTGTGTCATACAACTGCTGGCGGCAGGCCCAGAACTGCCGTTCCGGCCCATACACTAACCCCAGATATCGCGCACTATCCTTAGCCGGTATGGCCTCTCCAGCCAGCCTGAGCTCATCACACGATGCTTGGACAGCACTTCTAATGTTGCTGTCACTCGCAAAAACGAGGCGTTCACATTTCGACACATTTGGGCGCATCCCAAAATCGTCACAGAACATGTCCACAATGTTGAGCAACTCCCCCATGCGTCCTGGTGTTGTTGCCAGAAGGCTAACGTCGTCGGCATAGAGAAGGATGGACACTCGCTCATTTCCAACCTCCGGTGCATCCTCTGGCCGTGCCCCGGTATTAATACCGTCGTGCATATCGATGACGTCCGCGAGGGTTTCAATGTAGAGCCCAAACAGCTCAGTTGATAGTGGGCAGCCTTGTTTCACACCCTGTTTTGACTCAAATTCACCTCCAGCTTTGCCATTCGTCTTGATGACCATCGTAACCTTATCATACGCCCGCATCAGCGACTGCAGCATGGACCCTTCAACCCCTCTCTCTTGCAAGCGAAGCCACATTATCTCCCGCGGCACCTTGTCAAACGCCTTCTCAAAGTCAATTTGCACGATGATTAACGGCCGCTGTCCCGGTTGGCTGTGCCTAGTAGTAAGGTACTGCTTGGCAAAGAGATGGTGTGTAGTACCGAAACCCCTTCTGAAACCCGCTTGGCCTCGATGCCTAAGTGAGAGCGTCTCCCCTGTGCGAACGAGCCTATCCAGGAGGACCAGTGCATAACATTTCGCCAAAGCGCCCCCTACTGCTATGCCCCGGTAGTTACTCGGCATGCTGGGGTCCCCCTTCTTGTAAATAGGGGTGAGGACGGTAGTCGTAAACTGCCGTGGGAAGTCCCCAGTCGCCCTGATATGCTCCAGAAGCACGTGCAGTACCGGAACAAGCTGATTCACTTCCCCCCGTCGCCTGCCCCCACCATTACCCGACGCGGAGCCTTCTTCCTCTCGGGGCAAACGTGCATAGCGGTAACATTCCGACGGCGCTACTTCCAAACCTGGTGCCTTACTGTTAGGCAGCCGGTCAACAGCACGTGCGACTTCCTCCCGGGGGTCTAGGATTTCTGCTGCCTTCGCAGTCCTG